TCGCTATTTGTAACGCCTTCGGACATCGGTCCGATTACATTGGCTATATTATAATTTTCTGACCTACAATAACGCTGTTACTCGCATGTCGCTTGTAGTCGGCTGCTTGTTGGCTGCAATCGCTGAGTCACTCTTAGGGTAGGTCGCCTCTCGGGTTACGCTGCTATCTGCGTCCTGGTCGTCAGCTTCTCTACCGGGTGCTCGCTTCTGTTTCGGTCTCTTGGCTTCTGCGTTGCCTCCTTGGGTCGCTTCTTCGCCTTATTTATAATTCACCTTATTTGCAGAGTGCTGCTGTCGTCGCCGTCCCGGGTCCTAGGCCAGCTTAGTGGATCCCACCAATTATGTTGTGCCGCTGTACGGCACGGGTTCGGGATCCACTTAGGACTCGAGGAACGGTCGAATGAAATAACACTTGCAATGTAGCACTTAAATTAAATATCTTTATTTTCACACACAAGTGGTATTGATCTACAATCACCTTGCACTATTCGGTATTCGCGTCGCGATATAAGTATTATAATGATTCGGACGTCGCGACGCGTTATGCTTAAATTGCTTGACCGAATTTCTGACCGAGAATTGTCTGACTGGCTCTCGGTCGCCTACGCGGCCGTGCTTTTATTAATTATTTTGGGGTCGCCCGTATAGCCTCGTCAGCGTTCTACTCAGACGAGGCCAGCGTCCGCGCAATATCTTAGTCAGCGGTCGAGTACTGCTTTTATTATAATAATTGGTTTAAAATTGGTTTATATATCATATTGGCAATAATATGATTGCGCTAATGTTATTTTAGTATTTCGCCGTTCTGTGGCGAAATCGTCACAGTGGATATAGCGCAGTTTTGCACTCGTGACACCTTGTACTTTAAATATTAAAATCTTACAATCTTAAATATTTCTATTATTATTAAAAGCCTTTTCATTCCCTTCCAACTCCTTCTCATCACGCCAGAGAGTGTAGATAGAGAGACAGCGAAATGAAGCCTAACTGACGCTTCTTCTAAACTCTCTATTTTATTTTTATCAGAAGGACCTGGAAGGCCAATTACCTTAAACTCTAGTAAATTCATAGAATCATATATATTATTCCCGAATATCGTGCTCAATCCCGAGCACTGGTGACAGCTGCTTAAAATAACAACAAAGATACGCATCTAAACACCACGTTGAAGTCAAGGCTTCACCCCGCGCGCCCCGCTCCGCGCTCGCGTTCCCGCAAACTCGTGTCGCGTCTCGAGACCGCCGAAAACACGCGCTCAGGACGTAACAATATATATATATTTTTTTTAAAGTTACCAGCAAACAATGATGAAATAAACGGGTAAGTGAGAGTGTTGTTAGGTATGCCGCCTTTTTAGCGCATGTGCACTACAATACTAGTGAGTTCTAGAGAAATCCAGTAATGTAAAAAATGAAAAGCGCGGAGCCGTGGGCTAAACTGTTCGTGGTTACGCGCGAGAATTGGAGAAAAGGCATATACATTATATGTAATTTATTTCGCGAAAACAAAGAATCGAGAAACACTAGACAAGTAAAATGTAATATGTAGAAGATAAGTATAGATTTTCCGAGATTTGGCAAAATGTGATTCACAGTGTAGATTACTTACATATATTGCCAAATCTCGGCAAATCTATACTTATCTTCTACATACGAGGTGTGATCAAAAAGAAACGAGAATTTTTTAATTGCGCGTATTGTAGTGTATCGATTTGGTTAAATGTTTTTTTTCAAGTTGTTAGTACTGTCAGTGAAGTACGCACCAATTTTCAGACCGGTGCGATCTTCAATTTATTTTTGATGAGTCGTTAAGTAAGACGCTCTTGAAAGCATTCTGCGATTTTGATGTGCGGCGACATGTCGGAACAAAGAATTTGTTTAAAATTTTGTGTTAAAAACAAAATTAAGTGCAGCGAAGCATTCAAAATGTTACAAACAGCCTTTGATGGCGATACTATGTCACAAGCACGTGCTTACGAATGGTATAAACGCTTTAAAGAAGGTCGTGAAAATGTTAACGATGACGCTAAGTCTGGGCGTCCTAGCACCTCATGCAACGATGAACACGTTAAAAAGGTGAAAGAGATTGTGCTTGCTAATCGAAGAATTACCATCAGAGAAGTTGCTGAAGAACTAAGAATATTGTACGGCTCATGCGAAGCGATTTTCATTAATATTTTGGGTATGAAACGAGTGGCAGCTAAATTCATTCCGAAAATTCTGAATTTTCAACAAAAGCAGTATCGCGTAGAACTCGCCAAACAAATGCTTGCTGACATCGCTAATGACCCAGAATTACTCCAACGCGTTATAACCGGTGACGAAACGTGGGTGTATGGCTATGACGTCGAAACAAAGGCTCAATCATCGCAATGGAAGTGTTCTGAGGAGCCGAGACCGAAAAAAGCGCGTCAAGTGCGGTCAAACGTGAAGGTTCTCCTTACCGTTTTCTTTGATTACAGTGGAGTTGTGCACTTTGAATTTCTATCGACAGGTCGCACAGTTAATAAAGAATTCAAGCCATCATCAGTGAAATTCAAGCCATCATCAGTGAAATTTGTTTCTTGGTGGTATGGTATGATGACTCGAATTGAACCGAAACGTCCGAACATTCCTAGATTCATGTAAAGACACGAGTAGAAATTGAACCTCATTTCTAGCTAACGGTTAGCTAGAAAAGTTGTGTCTTAGATAACTGTTGTCTGGTATTTCTGGCTAGTTACTAGCTACATATGTAACGCTCACTTCTCCTAGGAGCTGTACAAAAAAAATTATACAGTAGCTAGACAAAATGTTTAGATAACTGCTGTCTAGTATTTCTAGCTAGTTACTAGCTAGATATGTAATGCTCATTTCTCCTAGGAGTTGTACAAAAAAATTAGCCAGTAGCTAGACAAAATATTTCTCCCAGTAGCTGTACAAGAAAAATTAGCTAATACCTAGATATAAAATGTTACACAGTCATGACGTAGAAAATCATAACTAGCTACTAGATAGTAATATTCTCCTAGCAGTTGTATAAGAAAAATTATCTAGTAGCTGTCTATCCTAACTAGACAGCAACTAAATAGGAAAAAAAAA